CCAAATTTTGGAAGTTGGGGGCCCCCCCCCCCCCTTATCCCGGAAAAAAACTTTTCTCCCCCGGGAAAGTTAGCCATCCCCCCTCCACCATAGGAACAAATGGGGGCCCCTTTGGGTGTTTTTTTGGGGGGGCCCCCCCCCCCCCCCCCCCGCGCTCCTCACGGAACCGTCATGATTGTTTTCTCTCGTCCTCCCAGTTCGGGTCTCCCCGCAGCGGTCTCGGCGGAGCTTTAGTCGCCGGTGTTGTGCGGCATCGTGCACCGTCGGTGCCTCCGGCGCCGGCGGCCCGGCAGGCGCAGCAGCAGGAGGGGGAAGAAGAGAAGCGGGAACGACAAGACGAGGGTGCCGCTACTGCAGGTGGTGGCGACGGTGGTGCCCCGCCGGGTTTGGACGCGGTCGCGGGCGTGGCTCTGGACCGTCTGGCCGAGTCTCTCGAGACGGTAAGCTGTGGTCGCGTTGGATGGTCGGAAATTACGTCAGCGTGTAGAGCTCTTTCTAAGCATGTAGGAGTATGTTTTTTTTCTGGCGTTAGAAAAACAACTGGCGTTAGAAAAACAACAATTTCGATACTTCATTTTTCTTTCTTTCAGCGAGGGCGAGAATGGGAATGAGAAGGCCGGTTTATCCCCGGTGGTTTTAGCCATTTGTGGTGTAGTTGGCAGCGGGTGTTTGTGTCCTGTGTTTCCTTGTTGTCTGGAGTACACTTTGTATTGTTTTTTTGTCTCAATTTTTTTTTTGTGTGTCGCACCTCTTTCTTTGTTAATTTCAGTCTGTTGTTGTTGCTGTCTTTACGCCCGTGCTGGTCCAACTGACGCCGACGGTGCTAGTGGTCACAGGCTAGGCTAACTCCCCCCAAAACGGTGGAAACATGTCGTGTACTTTAGTATGCTAGGCTAAATCTCCCCCCAAAACGGTGCATACATGTCGTGCTTTTATGTATGTACGAAGTTGTATGAAAGGAAGAACCCAGAGAAATGCACGCAAATAGACGCGATACACGTGCGACATATGTACAGCAGTGGGGCTCCGCGAATACGGCGGTCTGAACAAGCCGGTCGATGAAACTGGCTGGTACAGACGAAATGTTCAAGGTGTACGTTGAACATGCCAGCCGCCCCACGTAAGGCGGTCATTATCAGCTGCCTCCACCACCGCCATATTTCGGGAACCCCCACTGTACATCGATTCAAATCTACAAATTCTATCTATGCTAGAGAAGTAGTCCATGACGTATGCATGTAAAGATGTAAGGTACGGGCCGGTTGAGCCCCTTTTCAAGTGCCAGGAGAATGGAACTGAGCGCATGTGCGGGCTTTCGTTCGCAGAATCACAGGAAGTCCTCCAAAACGAACTATTTGTACGCCTCATTGGGCGGGTTTCCGCAAACAACAGCTCGGTGTTTTCGCGTTCGCCGCTTCAGAAAACCGCCCTCGCCCCCCCCGGTCCGTGTGTAATATTCATACAACATCCGCGTGTGATACTCAACACAACATCCGTGTGTGATATTCACACATCCGTGCAGGCTAGCTCTCCCCCTTGGGCACGGGAGCACCAGAAGCAGCGGAACACCGAGAAGGTCTCCCGCCTGCGACTGCTGCACCAGATGTGGTCAGCGGCGGGTTACACCGCCGCGGCCGCGGAGGCTGCTTCGCGCGCGGAGGGGGCCGGAGGAGTGGGCGGTGGGGTAGACGGGGGGGGGTCGTCTCATGCCCGGGAGGTGTGTGTTTGTGTCTTCGTTTTTTGCCGTTCGTCTTGCTGTTGTCGTCGTTGTGGGTGGTATTGGTGTTTGTGTTTGTGTTGGTGTTGTTATTTGCTGCTGCTGCTGTAGTAGTAGTTGTTGTCCCTGCTAATACTACGCTCCTGCTGCGGGTGCTGTTGTTATTGTTGCCTGCTGGTGGTGCCGGTGGTGGTGGTGGTGGTGTTGTTGTTGCTCTTCCTGTTGCCTCTTGGTTTTTCCCTTGTGTTTCGGCATGTGTGGATAGTTACCCCGTTTCGCAACAAGCTTGCCGTGCAAGTGGTCGTTCGGTGGCCTTGGCGTGTGTTGTCGGACTGACCCTGAACGCCACGAACCTCGACTTTACCCCCTTTACCTTGCCATGCCTCTGAACCGAACTTTGGGCACCACACGACCTCCTCTTCCTACAGGCGTTCCGGGGTAACGAGAGCCTTCACCTCCGAAGGCTGCTCAGAGTCGTTGAACACGGTACGTCCCTCCTCGATCACAATAACGACGTCGACGCCGCCGCCACGCCAGCCGTGGCAGCATCCACAGCGGCGCTAGCCAGCGAGGGCGAGGCACCTGCAGCGGCGGCGGTGGCGGTGGCGGCGGCGGCGGCGGCGGCGGCGGCGGCGGGGCCCGTAGCCGGTGGTAACGCCGGCGCCGTGAGTGCAGCTCAGGAGCAGCTGCAGGGGGCAGCGGCGGTATTGCCGGGCGATGGGGACGGCCGGGATGGGTCCTCTTCCTCCTCTCCGACAACAACAGGAGGAAGCGGAGGAGTCGTTGTGGCGGCGGCGGCGGCGCCGGTGGGCGGAGTCGTGGCAGCGATCAAGCTGGGAAGAATATTCGGCGGGGCGGCCGTGGTGCCGCCACCGGAAGGCATACGGGCTTTGGGCGGCGGCGGCGCTGGCGGGAGTACGGGGCAGAAGGTGGGAGATTGCCGGGGTGGCCTTGACCATCTTGAAACATATGGCGGCGCTGAGCGTGGCCATTGCCGCCCCAGTTGTGCCGGGGGGGTGTTTAAAGGGCGGTGGGGGAGGTGCAAGAGCTGAACAAGAACAGAAGCATGACCAGCAGAGGACCTTCCGAGACGCGATGTCGCATTTCCCGACCGTATATGTAGCGTATCGGCCGTCTTCTATTTCTACTGCTGTTTTGCGTCCTTTGTTGGCGCAATCGATGGTGGCGGTCTGTCTTGAAACGCTGGACGACCATGTAGGTGGTACGTGCGTGCTTCAGTGCCTTTTATCTGTTTTTTTCATGTCCTGTTGTTGTTTGTTGCTTCCGACAGAAGTCCTCCTTCGTCTTGTCCCCGGAGGAGGCCACCTGGATCCGACGGGGTCTGGAGCTGCCAATGCAGGTGCGACCGTGAATGCGATAGATAGCACTAGAGGAAGAGCGAAGGGGGGGAGGGCCAGCATTACTTTGGGAGAGGGTGGTCCAAATCATGGCGGTTGCCGTACCGTTTGCATACACACAGTAATGGTCCCGATATAGTGGCATGCAGGGGCAAGAGCAACGTATGCCACTATTCAGGACAGCAGTGCCACTCTTCGATGCATCGGGTTCATGAACATTTTGAGAGTGTGACTAGAGGTTTTGATGCCACTACTGTATGGGGCGTTTCACCATTGAGGGTGCCACTCATATCGGGACCGCTACCTGCTTGTATGCTTGAACGCAGCAAACAGACCCTAAGCACCAACCCTGCGTCACCACCACGACTCAACAACAGGCTATGGGAAACACACAACCCGATCTCAAGGAGGCTGACAAGGGGCGCCTAGAGTCTTTCCGTCTCAGGCAGGCCTACGCGCTAAAGAGGCCCCGCCAAGCCGCCCGTGAATGCTTCGAGGAGGCGGCGGCAGGCGGGCTAGCGTCCAAGACGAGCAGTTGGAGCGAGGTAAGCAGCGGGGGGGGAGGGGGGGTAGTGTTGGCGGTTGCTGGTGTTGACTGTTGTTGTTGGGTTGGTCGTTTGTTCCCCGTGCTCATCGCGGTCGTCGTTATCGTCATTTCGGCTGTCGCCCATTCTATTGCCGTGCCTTTGTCCCCCTCCTTGTAGGTGTCACGCGTCGTGCTTCCTCCCTCGTGCCCCCTGTTTTGACTGTTGCGATCATGTCCAAACGTCAAGCAAAGACATAAGAGCTGTTGGCAGCAGTCTCGCCTCCGTTTTGTCACCATTCCCCGTGCAACGTACGCCAAACGCCAACCAAGCTCAATGGTGTGGAACTCCCATGTGTTTTTGTGTGTGTGTGTGTGTGTGTGTTTTTGTTCTTGCTGATTCTTGTTGACAGCGGCTGTCCCCGGAGTCGGCCTCTGCGCTGGAGAGCGTTTGGGAGCCGGACGCGGTGTGGCCCTTGATGCAGGTGTGCGTGCTTGGATGGATGTGCCGCGTTGTTGTCCTGCTACGTGATGACTACTGCTACTACTGCTGCTGCTGCTGCTGCTGTGGTCGACGCAGTCGGGTTGCATGTTGGCACGCACGTGGTTTCGCGTAGTTTTGGATCGAGAAGCCCTCTGCGTGTGGTCAAGCCGGAGACTTCCCACCAGGCGGCACGAACCCCGCCCCTCCAACCGGTTCGTTCTCGAAGCAGAGCACTCGTTTTCGTGTTAAATTTAGGTTCACCATGCTTTTGAGGCACGTGATATCGGCAGTCATGGTTCTTGGTACTCCATGGTATATGTAGCTATGCCGCCATGACACCCCCTGTTTCTTAATTGTCAATGTTGGTGGTGGTGGTCTGCTTGATATGGAGCAGGGGAAAAAAAAAAGCGATAGGGGTGGTTTGCGTTGCCAGAAGGAACACCACACAGGGGGTGTAACGGCATGATTGGCAACAATAACTTGGATGCTTGCTTGTCATGTGAAACACAACAACGACGACAACGACAACAGTCACCGTCATCATGAAAACAACAACAACAGCAACAGCAGCAGCAGCAGCAACAATAACAACAGCAACAATAACAACAGCAGCAGCAGCAACAGCAGCAGCAGCAACAGCAGCAACAATAACAATAGCAACAATAACAGCAGCAGCAGCAGCAGCAGCAGCAACAGCAACAGCACTAACCACCACCACCACCATCATCTACAACGGCAGACACCTCTTCTGTCCTGGGACCTCACCACTCTCCTCGTGGGCAGCGTGAGCATGGCCCGATCCTGGTCCAACAGGGCCGGGGTGGCGAGGGCCGTCTGCCTCGCGAGGCTCTGTCAAGCGCTGCTCCAGCCCGAGCTGTGCCTGCGTGGGCCGGGGGGCGCCGCGGCAGCGGCGGCGGCGGCGGCGGCGGCGGCAGCGGGGGGGGGGAGAAAGAGCGGCGGCGGGCGGCGACCGGGGTTGTCGAAGGGAACGGCGGCGGCGGCGGCGGCGGCTTCGGCGTTGGAGTTGCTGAGAGGGGTTCTGGCGGAGGCGACGGGGACGCCGGTGTCTCGGTTGGCTCCCGTCGGCAAGGTGGGGAGAGAGGGGGGCTGTCAACGTGTGTGTCGTGTTTGGTCCTTACGCTGGCCTTGGTTAGTGGGGGGGCGGGCGGACGATGTCTGTCCTAGATGTGCTGCGGTTTTATTCTTCCGACTGCTACAAATATCGCTTGCTTGACGGCCCTACCGTACCCTACCGTACCCTACCCTACCCTACCCTACCCCCTGATCTATTTCCCGGCCCCCAAACGACTATTTGGAAAATCTCCGGATTGTGGCTGTCCCTTTGTGTCTGTTTGCTTTGCCTTGCCTTGCGTTGCCTCGCCTCCATCCGCAGGAGCTGGTGTCGATGTGCTACTCGTCCTGGGCCCCATTCCTGCGGTGCTCTGCCCTGCTCCTCGTCGCCTCTTGCTCTACCGACAACAGCAACGAAGCTTCCGACGCCAACAATTCTTCTTCCGCATCCGGTGGTGCAGTTGAGGTGCGTTGCAGTGTCGTCGTTGTCGTCGTTGCTGTTGTTGCTGTTGTTGCTATGACACTACCGTATACGAAACAAGATGACACACCCCCTGGACGGATTTTCAAATCTCGATTTCTCAACAACAGCAAGAGTTACAGCGCCGAAAACGGTGGCGTACCTGTTTCGTCGAGAGCTTTCCGAAAATATATTGTTTCATTTATAAATCCTCTTCGTCATGGCGTCATCGAGCTTCGACAATTGTTCCAGGGGGTGTGTTATCTTGTTTCATTTCATATACGGTACAAGTGTCATAACAACAACAGCAAAGTTACGGTATATTTTTTTACAAGTTGTTTAGAGCACCTGCCAGGCATGCCACCTACGTGCCTGGTGGCTGGTTCGTTCCGGTTACAGTTTCGCGGCACCCTTGGTGCATTCACGTGGTCGTGGACTATGTACCACTTCTGCCCACGTCCGAGGCATCTAGTTGGTGTCCATGCTTGGCCAATGACACAAGCCTTGTTCCTGGGTGTTATTGTTTGTTTTGGTGTGCCTTCGCTCTCCTCGTCGGACAACCTGTCTCCAGCCTAGATCCCCTCGCTTCGAGCATCGAGATTTTTTCATTTTTCCCGCACTCCTCATCGCGGACAAATGACTGCCCAACCCCGCCGTCCCTCCAGGACGAGTGGCGACAGCGCCTTGCCTCGGCCTACGGCTCCTCCGCCCGCCTCTCCTTCACCACCACGAGCTACGACAGCAACGGCCACACCCGCAAGCGGAGAAACAACAACAAGCCTGCGGCGGCGGCAGCAGCAGCAGCAGCAGCAACAGCAGCAACAGCAGCAACAGCAGCAACACTAGCCGATGATGGCAACGATGGTGACGACGATGACGGCGGCGGCGGCGTCGAGTGCCTTGCGGCCGTGCAGGAGCTGTGCTCGGCGCTGGGAGTCCCTTCCCCGCAGGCCGTGGTTTCCTCCGGCCCCGCGATGGGCATGGTTCGGGCCTGGGGGAGGCAGTACAGGGAGGCGTTCGGGTCGGCTCAGCCCACGGCGGGCGTCTGCCGCATCGGGTCAGAGGTACCATGAGAAATGGCGTGGTGGCGGTGGTGGTGGTGTTTTTTTTTTTTTCTTTCTTTCCCTGGTGTACTGGTGAGTTGAGCTATTGTAAGCTTCGATTTCACGCGGTCTTCCGTTCCAGACGGAGGGCGGAGGGTTCTTGCGAGAGGGAGAGAGAGAGAAGGGGGGGGAGAGAGAGAGAGAGAGAGAGAGAGAGAGAGAGAGAGAGAGAGAGAGAGAGAGAGAGAGAGAGAGAGAGAGAGAGAGAGAGAGAGAGAGAGAGAGAGAGAGAGAGCGTCACGGGTGTTGTTACTAGTATCGCGGCGGTACTTATTTGCGTTGATGGACCAAATCGCTTGTGCTATTTATCCACCGACCACCCCCAACCCCTTTTTCATACCAGGGTCTTGTTTTCCTCCAAATCAATGTCGGCCGTGATGCCTGGCTGGAGCCAACACTCCTAACCATGAAAATTCCACGGGGCGACTGCTACCAACACCCACCACCACCAATTCGCGTGCGCAGAGTCTGAATCCCTCGTTCGTGGAGGAATGCCTTCGGCAAGCTCCTTCTCGAAGGGTATTGGCGGCCGATGCGGGAGGCGGGAGCAACTTGGGGGACGACGAAGACGGCGGCTGGGGGGACGGTGACGGCCTTGGCAGAAGTGGAGGCGGCGGAGGCCTGGTAAGAAGCCCTGTAGAGTTGCTGCTGTTGCTGCTGTTGCTGCTTCTGCTGTTGTTGCTCCTGCTTCTGCTGTTGTTGCTCCTGCTGATGCTGTTGCTGCTGCTGCTGCATCTGCTGGTGTTGCCGCTGCTGTTACCGTTGATACAGCTTTAGTCACCTGCTACCGTTGTCGTTGCTGCTGCTGTTGCCGCTGTCGTGCTCGGTGTCGGTGTCGTGGTGTTTGCTGCTCGACATGGCGACTCTTCGAGTCGTGACTCAACGTAACCCCTTCGCCTTTATTTTTTTTAGAACGAGCCTGGCATGGGAGGAGGAGGAACGCCAGACGCCGGCGGGGGTGATTCAATGTCAGATCCGGGGGACACCCACGACGGCGACAACGACGATGCCAACAACAACCCGGCAGCCGCCGTCTTAGCAGCAGCAGCAGCAGCAGCAGACGGCGTGAATCCTGCCGCCGCGGGGGGGGGAGCAGCAGGCGGCGTCGCGCCGGGAGGGGAAGGAATGTTTGGCATGAACATGAACCTGAACATGAATCTCGGGGCCGAGGTGCCGTTCGACGAGGGGGGCGGAGCCGCGGAGATGATGGGCTTCGATGTCCTAGAGATCGACGGCGGGGAGTGGCTGGGTTTGCCCCCGGGCGGCGGCGGGGACGCCGCGGCGATGAATGCCCTCGCCGTCGCCGCTGCCGCTGCCGGCGCCGGCGCCGCTGCTGGTGCCCCCGCGCTCCCCGCGGGGGTGGCGTGGGGTGGCGACGTCGTGGGAGCGGGGGCAGGGGGTATGATGGAGGACTCGGATGATGACAGTGATGATGGGCAGGCGCTCGAAGACGTGGAGGATGCCGGCAACAATGACGTAAGCGTTGGGGGCGGGGGTGGTTCCGGGTTGTGGTTGGGCCGGTGGCGGGGGTTGCCTTGTGGTGGGACGGGATGTGAGGAGTTCATCAGCGCGGTAGCAAGTTGTACTCCGCCCGCCAGCCTGCATAAAGTAGGCGTGGGCTGGTGGTTGCACACCGCTGTCGGGCACGAAGCTCTTGGAGACCGTTAATGCCACCTGCCCTTGTTGTAGTACTACGCCAGTGGCTCCGCGTCTGCGGCCGCGAATCCAGGTGCACACGAGTGAGAGCACGCTGGGTTTAGGCTGGCGTTGTGGCCGCTCCTCGAACCAAGTATGCTGTCGTCATAGGGGCGCGCACCTCGAATGAAATGCGTCACCCCGCCGAGGAATCTTTTACGGTTGGTCAAAATGCTTGGAAGTGGTGGCACCACCAGCCAATCTTTTTCTTGCGGTACAAAAGATCGTTGACCTTTTCTCTGGCCATGCTGCTGTCGATGTGTGATGTAGGGCGGAGGCTTTGACGCCATGGAAGAAGACGAGCAGCAACAAGAACAGAACGCCGATGACTTCGAAGTACCCTGGCCCAACAACGTCAACGGCAACGACGGCGACCAGGGCGGCTGGGCCGAAGATTCGGACGAGGCGTGGCAAGGCGAGCCCCCGGGTGCTGGTGCTGGTGCTGGTGCTGATGCCGATGCCGCGGACGTTGTGATGCCCCCCCATGGGGCGGCGGTCCAGGCCGTCGGCGATGCCGTAGCCTTGGCTGCACAGGTAAGGAGGCATACCTCCCCCCTTCCCCTTGTTGAAATTTTTGTCACAGACCGCCGTGCATCGAATGAGTGATGGGTTGTGCCAGGCTGGCACGTAAGGCATGCAGCACGCTCCACAGCACGCTTGGTCGTATATGCCTCGGACTGGCACCGGCTGTTCACGAAGGACCCGTGGCGGTTGTTTTGAGCCTTTGGTGTGTGTGTGTGTGTGTGTGTGAGCGAGAGAGATCAATGGCGGCGTGTTCTTCCAGCCGGTCCCAATAGCACATGCCCCCGGACGTGTGACTGCTGCAGCCCTCGGCGCTGCTGCTGCTGCTGCTGCTGCTGCTGCTGCTGGTGTAGACCGCTGCTGTAGATTTTGGTCGTCGGCTCGCCGGCGCTCTGTTGTGCGTGTTCAAGGTACCCGGCAACGTTTTCCGCCCTCGTGGATTTCCGCTAGCCCTTTCGATTCGCGGATTGGCTCGCGGGCGTGGTTGTGAAATGTAAATGTGGAAAACGTACTGTGTGCGTGTTATGTTTAGCAGGACCGCACGCTAACGTCACCCGGCCGGGGGGAATGAAACGGCCTTTATTGATGACCTCGCCGCAAGTGAAACTTGCCGCGTGGTCATGCTGTTGTCGGTATTTGACGATACCTCATACGCGGCCCGTCGCTGAGTTTGTTGGCACGATTTGTCTCCTTTTCCGCTCTTGCTCTCTCCTTCTTGCTCACCGACGCACGTCTATTTGCGTTGTTGGCCTCCAGCTTAGGAACGAATTACTTTCTTTTTTCAGCCACTTTTTTTTTTTTCTCTCAGCACGTTCTCCTTTCCCTGCAGCAGGCGGTTTCTGCCCCTTCTGCCCAGCGGAGGCGCCATGGCACGGGACGTGGCAACACCACTAACAGCAACACCTCTGCACTCACAAGGTTGTTCTGTTTGCTGATGCGAGGCTTGATCTCACACGATCAAGGATGGTGAACGTCTTCTCCCGGACCGACGGTGTAGTGTTGATGACGACGACACCAAGTAATGATGTCAAAGTGCCCAAACGGTCTTGAGTGAAATGGAAGATGCGTGGTAGATTGTCGGAGGGCGGCTACCTCACAAACTTCCCCTGCTCCTAGGTAGGGTACCTCTCCTCCTTCTGTGGTGAACGCGCCATCCCTACACACGGCCACGAGTCATCCCCGCCCCGTCGAATCATGATCACTCCCCACCTCCCCCCTCACGCTAACATCTCAATATGGTTGTCTCATGCCCGTCTCAAGATATTTTTTCATGAGGGCCTCCAACAAACGTTTTAGTGTGTCGCGTGTACCGTGATTTGAACTTGTCTTAAGAGGAACCCCACCAGGCAGATTGATCGGGTACTTTTGTTGTCTCCTTGTGTTTTCTGCTGTGATCCCCCCCTGCTGACGAACCCCTCTCTCCCGCCCTCGTCCCCTGTTGTGTGTTTGTCTCCACCGGTGGCTGCCGTCGTGGATGGGCTGAATCTTGGCATGGCTTGGCGACGTTTCGGCCCTCGCTGTTACAATAGGGGGGGGGCTCCGCAGGTGTGTCGTGTCTCCTTGCGCGCAGGTCGCGCGACCAATCCCCGCTGATGGGTTGTGATATTGGATCTGTGAACTCACTCACTACTTTTAAGGTTCATTCACTTCAGTCACCATCGTTGGATTTCATTCACTATCGTTGGATCATTCGCTCTCTGTCGAGTCATTCACTACTTGTACGTGTTCTCGCGCAAGTGGGCGCTGCTCTTATCCTGCGAGTTGTTGCTACGCACATACATAGATTTTCTCTCCCGCATGGGAGACTCCTTATCTAGATGGCGTATCAACTTGCGATTTGTTTTTCCTGCTGATGTCGTTTTTTTGTCATGTGTATTTATACGTATTTTGGCTCGCGGACTGATGTGTTTGCTTCCTGCCCGGACCCCCTAGGGTTCATGTGTGAGGGTACCACAGATGCAGCCACGACGGATAGCTGCTGAAGTTTCGCTTTTTTTCGTTAGATATTTCTGACAAAACATCGAATTCTTTTTTTCGACAGATAAACGTGTCTTGTTTCGATTGCGACACTTCCTTCGCGTTCTCTGTTCGGAACCGCTCACCTCTTGACCTCACACGTCGTTCGTCGTTTTATGCCTGTTTTTATTCACGAACAGGTGTTGATGCCGCACCTCGGCAGCCTCACGGGGGGGCACACCACTCCAGACCTAACGGGGAAGCCTCTGAAGGGGGTGGTGTTCGACCTCAGCCACCTCGGCGTCAGCTGCCAGGTGTGTGTGCAACGCAGGATGTGACCATCTACAGCAGTGCGTGTTTTTGCCGTTCATTCACACGTGTTGTTTTTTAACTTAATGCTGGCCCCGGTCATGGCCCTGACTACGCCAAGGATCAAAGACAAGATGGGAGTGGATAGCATTGTGGTGATGTTTCTATAATAGTGATCGCAAGTTGTGCAATATGATCATTTTTTGCCGCCCGCCACAGCATCAGTTTAACATGGTCAACTGTGGCCTGAGCTTGACAAGCTGTTGTGCCCTACTCTGCCCGTGCGTGTCCATGATGTGTGATCTGTGTTTTGTTTCTCGTCTCGCTGTCAACAGGATAACCACGACCTGGTGGAGCTGCCCGAGAGCTACACCGAGCTGTACGGCCTGGCCAAGAGCCCGCACGCTTCGGCGGCGGCGGCGGAGGGGGCTGCGGCAGGGCTAGAGACGGACCCTGCGGTGTGCCTCGTCTGCGGCCAGGTGCGGTGGCCTTCTTCTCTTGGCTTGTTTTAAGGCGACATATCCTCCTGACCACGTTAGTCACCCCCGAGTTTGATCAATTTAATTGTAAGGTTTACGGCCGCCCCTATGTGTGCGTGTTCGGGTCTGGAGGCGGGGGGCATGTGTTCTTCATTTGCTTGACGAGTCGCGATGGCCAGCTGGTGTTGTTGTTGTCTTTCATGCTTTGATGCGCACGAACGAACGAACGAACGAACGAACGAACGAACGAACGAACGAACGAACGAACGAACGAACGAACGAACGAACGTGTAATGCACGTGTGTTTGGTTGGTCCTTGGGTGCAGGTCCTCGCTGCCGGAGCGAAAGGGATGGGGCACGTGGGAGAGTGCACCCTGCACGCGAGAGAATGCGGGGCTGGCGTGGGCGTCTTCTTCCTGGTGCAGAGGCGAGTGGAGTCGCCGTGGTTCGGTTTCAGACGCGAAAGTACAGTAGACACGTACTGTATTATTTTATTGTCTCTTGTGCATCATAAGCTCTTGGGGTGTGGCTTTCCTGCAGTTTTCGCACGTGTTTGTGGCACATCAGACGAGCGATGGGGCCTCTTCTTTTTTGTATCTGCAGCTGGCCACCCTCTTTGTATATTCTGTACTAGAAAAAAAAAATCAAGCCGCTGTCCAGATGTCTCGAAAAACCATCCCGGAGCCTTGACGGAAGGTGGCGGAAAATCCCTTGTTTTGGTAAAGCTTTGCTCGTGTTGTGGTTCGAGTTAGTGTGGTGTGGCTCGGGACAAGGAATGACTTACGTAGAAATCGAACGCCAGCAAGGAATATTCATGTAGTTGATGATATTTGGTAAAGCGCTACACATTGCTCATCTTTTCCAGTTCGTTTTCTCTTGCAGCGGAAATCTGTGATGACGCAGACATCGGTTCTCACGCGTGCAGGAAACATGGAGAGTGTTGGTACAGTAGACAGAGGTGCCGCGTAGACCTCGGACCGAGTGTAGTGGGAAGCCAGCAACAAAAGCACCACCGCCACCGCCACCACCACCACCACACAGGCACCGTGCACCGAAGACATGAACAGCAACTCACCACGGGACCACGTGATTCTCTCTGCTCACTCTATGATAGGTGTGTGGTGTTGCTCATCCGAGACAGCAGGGGCGCCTACTACCCGTCCATCTACCTCGACGATCACGGAGAAGAGGACGCACGTAAGTCAAGGCACATAACGCCCAGTCCTGGGGGGCATTGTAATCATGTGTTTGTCGTTCCACTCGCCCTCCCGCTGGTCGAGAAGGGCCCCGATCTTGTTGCTGTCCGTCGGTTGATATCGTTCGTGTTTCTCACGCAATATAGGTGTGTGCGTGTGCTTGGTTGTACGCGGCGATTAGGATGTTAATCAACGAATTCCCTCTCCCCGTAACAGCGAAAAACACAAGTGCTTTCCCCTTTCGGCAACGAAAACGCCACGTATTGTTTGAAACTTGCGCTGATTGTCTTTGTTGTCACCATTGCCCGTGTGTGATCGCATTTGGTCGTTGACTTGCGCCTATTTCTTGTTTTTGGTTGCCACAGAGCTACGACGCGGCCGCCCGTTGTTCCTTAACAAGCACCGGTATGACTCCCTGAAGCAGCTGTACCTCCGACACAAGGTAGCCCAGGAGGTTTCGGCTATCCGCGCCAGCTCGGATCGGGTCATCAGGGAGAACTACTACTAAGAAAGGCAGACCAGGATATGGGCGTGAGGGAGCAAACGAAAAATACAGGAGGATGATGTCCCACGTAACGGGACAAACGAGCGATTCTGTCTCTGCCGGCATTAGAGACGAAAGGATGCGGGGTAGGGGAGGGTTTGGGGGGGTGGGGGTGACAAGCGATGCAGGTCTGTTGATGGGGTTTGGGCGAGGTCTTCGACGGGGCGCTTGTTGCGTGGCAATGTTAATGTTCAATGTCTACGTTTTATTGTAGATGCTGTTGTTTGTTTGTTCGTTCGTGTTTTCGTTGTCCTGCTATCTAGCTTTAGCGTGTTTCTGTCTCAAGTTGCTCTTCCTGGTCATTTTTTGATCGGATTTCGGGGAGAGGGAGCCAAGTATCACTATGGGGTGGGGGTGCAGTGGGTTGCTCTGTTTTTGCTCCTTTCAGGGCCGGTCATTTGGTCCCACCCTTCCTCTGTACGGCTTGAGATATTGTTTGCGCTTCGTGAGTTTTTTTTTTGTCGTGTGTTGCGTTCGAGGTAGGTGTGATTTCTAGGGCCCTATCTGCCTCACGGGCAAGTAAATGTGCGCCACACTAACGTCCAACGTCCATGCGTGAATCATGGTGTTTTGTTCCCCGGTCTAGTCGGGACTCACTCACTCCTTGGGGGCACGGGGTACTGAGCGCATGGGTATTCGACTATCGCTCAATCGCCATGGGGCATTAGACTTTCGCTCATTCGCGAGGTGCATCTTTGAGGTTGAGGCGAGTGATCGTGGGATGCCGCGTGCACTGAAGATGTGCGAGGATGTGGACGTTTTGAGTGACATGCTTCATGGGTGTGGTCGCATGACTCGACGTCTTTGCTGGTTGTCGATTGCCTACAGCTTTTACGTACGCATACGTGAGGCAGAGCAACGTTACCGTTTTTTTTTCAAGAGAAAACTCGCCGCTCTACCCCCATGTGCCCTCCCTTTTCATCATTTCATTTTGTTTCGATCAAACTTTTGCCCCAAGTCAACCTCTTGGTCCCAACGGTAACGAACACTGACTATGTTTGAGCAAGCCTGACAACGAGCACTGACTATGTTTGAGCAAGCCTGAGGATGTGTGCCCATTTTGGATGTGGTTTTGTTCTTTCCCGGCATGGGTCGGCATTGTTTGTGGACGTGTTCGTTCACTCGACATGGCAGAGGGCTGCATCAGTGGCCCCTGACGCGGCGTTTGTTCAAAGCCTGCGGCGGTTTTCTAAGTGAACCAACGAAGTTTGCCCGCTACTGGTCAACGTTCCGTTCACAAACAGGCGAACACCCATGAGTCGGGCACTACTGTACGGTAGATCCCACGCAACATGTAGTGTGGCACGAGAATGCAGCTGCCATCGCATCATGCGGACGTCAGTTTGGCTGTCTTGTGCAATAACCTTGTGCACTTAAATACGTAGTCACTCATGAACTGTGCTCTAGCTGAAACCAACAAGACGTGGTCATGTTCCGGCACTCACTCTATATGAACCACGTTGATGTGTTTGGCTCCTTTCTCAACCATTACCGTATATGACGTGCGGAAACCCATGTTGATCCCGGGATCAAAGTCACAACACGGTCAGGAAGTTCAGCGGGTGCGCGCCCGTGTACATGTAGACTACATATGTAGGCGCCTTCGCCGGTGACTGCCTTTGAAGAGAAAATCTCTGTAGTATACTCTCCTCTCCTTCTCTCTCTCTTTCTTTCCTGTGAGTTTTATTTGGAGGAGATAAGATGCACACTGCCGGTTGGCGGACAATGTTGAGAATGGCGAGGGGGGGGGGGGGGGGGGCTTGGTCGGCATCTTTTTTTTTTTTCGCTTTTTCTGCAGACCCCACCAGGCCATCAGGTTGTCGGTTGAGAGGTGGTAGCGGCCTCATAATCATTGTTTGCTCTGCTCCCTCATCAGGATTTCGACTAGGACGTCAGGACCCCCCTGCTTGTAGCAACGTGCTTCGAGCTGCGGGTACTGAGCTAGCTGCTGGTGGCAGTGTCGCTGGGAGCGACGTGACGGCGTGCGGCTTGGATCTTGTTGCGCTTGCATCAGGTTCCCAATCCTCCGTAGTCAAATCTACTGCTGTACACCGACCGGAAGAAGAGCAATTACATCTCATCAGAGGTGAGGCGTGCGTGTTCGAGACAAGAGGAGTAGCCCCACGAGCCGCGAATGAGTAATAAAAGGTTCGGGGCTTTCCCACCATAGTGGCTAGTGTGCGGGGGAGAGGGTGTGTCTTGGCTCGAGGGGTCATGTCGATTCAACGGATTTTGCTTTTGCGGGGGCCTGCTGTCCCCTTCATCCACTGATTTTTGCTTTTGCACTGCAGAAAAGCATTTAGCGAGCAAATTCTTGGCGGGATTGGCAGCACCTCGCAGTAGCCCCCCGCGCAATAGAATGAGAGTAGATCCCCTGGCCCGTGTCACATGTACACGTATCCATGGGCCATAACCCCGATTGGGGCGAGTCAACCACACGCAACCCACCACACGGAATGGTGAGAGGATCCGGCGAAACAAAAATATCCCCGCCAAGCATGAACCAAGCGCTGTGTCGGATAAAAGAACGGATGGAAAGAACGAAGAGCGACGAACGATGAACCAAGAACACAGGCCGGCATCCCCCATTCCCTCGCCAAAAGTTGCGCCACGCCCATGCGCAACCCGCTGGCTCCTTGTTCGTCAAACCGCGATATGCATAGCAAGGACGACAGACGCCTGCAAGCTCGCTGGCAGGGGAGTGGTGGGGCCATAGGATCCGGCTCTGGAGTGACAGCAATACGCCCGTCTTGCTATTTAGAATCACAAAAGCTTAGCTTGCCACTTTCCTGCTCTGCTCTCGTCATGTCTCCGTCCATGCGAAATCAAAAGTGTGAACATGATGAGGTCGTGGACACTGCTGCTGGTGTGTGCGGTGCTCCTGGTGCTTGGGCAAGCACACGGCAAGGGGCGCGACCCCACCAAGGAAGAAGACTGCTGCACTGCTCTCCTCGTCGAGGGAGAAGAGGGCTCGCTGGACGCAGCCGGGAAGTACGTTCTGCCGACCATTTGGTGAGGGTAAATTCTGCCGTAAAATACCTGCCGTAAAATACCATGGTAGTTGCCCATGTCCCGGAATATGGAGACACGCCAGCGTTCACTGCTGTAGAGAGGGCCTGCCGCGCTCCAACCACAGCAGCACACTCTGTCTGGTGCATGACATCTATGCGTTCTCTGCCGTCGTTTCCTGCGGATCGGATGCCTGTTGTGTCACATGTACAGCCGTGGAGAGCCTGCCCCTGCTATGGCCTGCCCACAGCTGTGGTTTCAGAGCCCGGCAATCAGCGACAACGACATCGGAGAACCAGCTCGGCTTGCATTCCAGCAACAAAGTGACCTCCGAGCTGACGAGTCCTGCTCGCCCTTGGAGTGGGAGCAGCGATGCCCCCCCGGGGCGACGATGCTTCTCTCAAAGAAGAGGGGTGGGTGCCGCGCGGCCGGCTGCGTCGCTGCTGCCATGGAGGGCGAGCTCACCGCACAGTTGATCGACGTGGTGAGAAAAGAGGTTTTGCAGCAATCGTTTGTTGTGTGAGATACTTTTCCTACCAGCAGGTTTTCTTAGCACATGCATACATTGCAGATCGCTGTGTACGGGCGGTACGTACCTGCTCATCCATAGGAGCACAAGAAGCCTCGCTACCGGTTCGTTTGTCCGGTTGACCCGCCTAAGATTTCTATCTACTATCTACTTGGTTGCTTCACCGCATCGGAGGCACGACAGACACAGAAGGATCAGGAAAGAACGGAAGCGGGCACAAATTGTAAAATGTTCAGCCGCTTGCTGCGTGATTGCCAGGCGGGTATCGGACATACGAAGGTACTGGGTAGAGAGAGATCGGAACGGTTTTTAATGTGAAGACAACAACAACAACAAATCCACGTCAAACAGCAAATCTCTCCGATCGCCAAATTGAACTGATTGGATGTAAGTTGAACGGACAAACATCAAGGTCTCTCACCGGATATTCTCAATCTTTCCGCTGCTGCTGCTGCTGCTGCTGCTGCTATAGGGACGAGATGTCGAGGGGGAAGCAGCAATTCAAGCAGCAATCCTCCGGGCGGTCACCGCCCAAGAGACCGCATTTCTGCAGGCCGCCAAGCCTGGCATCCCAAAGACGTTCTACATGCACGTCTCCGGCCTCCAGCGGGCTTTCTCCAAGGCGAGTCAAAATACGAGAGCGCGAGAAATAAATACCGCTTTGTTTTTTCATTTTTCTTGCGACAGAGCAAGAATCAATCATGGACGAGATGGATTGCGAATGCAGCAGAAAATATATGGGTCCGAGCGTTGGGTAACCATGGGAGAATTACAGCAATAAAGTAGTTGGAGTGCGACCAATATTCAAGCGTTTGCATTCCATGGCACGTACACGGTAGCCACTAAACCATGGGACGCCTTTGCTTTCGGCAGCTACATACATACCCAGATCCATCCGCTGCGTTCAAAAGCCAAAATCTATTTTTTGAAATTTGAATCGCATATGTGTATGTATGTGCGAAGGTGTACCGATTCTGGTAAAAGTCAATCGACGGATACCCTGCGAATCGGGACCTCCTTAACATATGCATATATGTTGACTGCCACACACGCACACGCCACACGTCGCGGACCCACTATTAACGCTATTCATACATACATGCCGCTGCCCTCAGAGATCAAGAGGTTGGTGTATTTTATTTCTAGCGAGAACTGAAAAAAAGTTTTTACCGATAATAAAATGAAACCAACAGGATGCAACTGCGAGAGCCCCCCAAAACTTAAGGAACCAAGGAACGACTTCGGCCCCTTCGACCCCAAATACGCACTTGAGACCCGACCTGATGTTGACTTCTTTCATATCTCCGCGGTTCAGTTCTGTTTATGCAGCAGAACAGAAACAAACAATTGTTGGAACTTACGGAGTCAGAGAAATGCTGTAGGAGACCCAGCTGAAAGGAACCTAACACAGGTGGCCTCCATCCTCCAGCGTATATTGGCTACAGCCCGCAGGCAGCGCTGGCTGTGACTACTGTGTCATTTCGTCTGTTCTATCAGTACGGGCGGGGGGGAAGGGGGGTGGGGTGTACCGGATTTTGGTCTTCTAGGATGCCTGAAGGAGTCCCTAGCTTCCTGAATGCCAAATTTGGTGGGGGTTGTTGTCGATATTTTGGCTCTTGCCTGGCGGCCGTTTCGAGGTGTTGCAGTTGCCACGTGCTTCGTTAGACATTTCAGACTCCACACAAAATTTCAGGCAACCCCTCCCTGAAAACGGCCCCTCAGGCAAGCCCTCAGGCATGCCTGATCGGCCAGGGCTTTCTCGTCCTCTCTCCTTTTTTTTACTGGCTTTCTTCGCGAACGCCCGCTGGAAACCGGAGACGTTTCTGAAAACGTCTCGGGCCTACCACCAGGCTTGGCCGCCAAGAGGATTGCGGTCTCTTGGGCGGTGGCCGCCTGGGGGATCGCTGTTTCCTCGTGGACATCTTCGATGCCATCGAAGATGTCCACGAGGAAACAGCGATTCTCCAGGCGGTTACTGCCCAAGAAGCCGCAATCCTACAGGCCGCCAAGCCTGGTGGTAGCCCCAAAATGTTTTCAAGCACACTCGGGCCTGCAGCGGACGTTCGCGAAGAAAGCGAGTAAAATAGAGGGGAGGAGGAGAAAAATATGTAGAGGTTTCGTATATTCGGGTCCAGCCCTCCTGCCAGGCTACTTGTTGACCCACCCACTCATTGTGTGTTGCCTACCTGACCCGATATGCGTGGCTTTTTCGTCTTTTTGAGGCAAGTGCAGCTATGCTTGTGAACAGCCGTGCCGCCCGGCTTTCTTCCCGACCAAGACGTATTCAAATTCAAGCACGCCCTGACTCATTGTAGTGCAGAAATTGCTGGACGGTGGGGGGCGCAAACTCTCTCTCTCTCCGACTTGTTTGCATTGTGCGTTGTACGGTAGCCACTAAGCGATTTCGACGCCTACGCTTGCGGCAGTACCTGCGCTCAAAACTGTTTCGGTTTTATCCATACTGCTGTACCAGTAGGAAATTTGAAAATTGAAATTCGAATCATGGTATCTACAGCAGTGCTGTCATCTGCTTGATGCAATGTGGTCATCTGCTTGATGAAACATGATCACTGATGCGCTTGGGGGAATTCAACCTTGAAAGGGAGTGTCCGAATCGAATCCGAACGAAACCTGATCGAACGAACCTCCCAGCACGGAATAGTCTAGTCTAGTCCACCGCCTCACCTTGTGCAGGTACAATAGCCATACACATGTTCGCCGTATTCACGCCACCTTGTTGTGGTTGCTGCACCCGTGTCATTGAGAAAACAACTCCCCCGTTCGCTCAATAACACCAATCAGGACGAGAAACGATTCACCAGGAAGCTCACGAAGGCCATGAAGAGCTCACCCCCCTCGGACATCGAACTTGTCCGCGCGCTGGTCGACGAAGCCACCACGAAGGGCTTCCGATCAGCCGCCATGGACGAGGCCACCAAGGCCGTTACAAGGCACGACGACCAGGCGAAGGCATTCGCCGTGTTAAGGTGAGGGATGTGTACTGGAAGGAAGGGCCGACAACGAATACTATACGCCACAATTTCTCTTCGCAGTACCCACTCTATACTTGGGGCTCCAGGCGATGGGGTTGTGGAATAGGCGTGTGGGTGTTTTCACAACCATCCATGCGTTGCTGTCGTTTCAATTGTTTTCGCGTGCGACAAGTCCCCCCCCAAGTCTCGAGCAAGCCTTGTGGCGGCTGTTGGTGAAACATAACAGTACAACAACGGCGGGGGGTCCGTATCCCAACATGAATTTTGCGCCACGGACCGCCCCCGTGCGTGCAGGTCGCCATTCTCACAAGCACAACTATATAGAAATTTATCGAGTCCAGCGTCTTACACAATTGGTCCGTTCTATTCTCGTAGTTTATGCCATTCCCCTTTTAATATTCGACAGGAGTCTTCCCGGGGCCCTCGCCCGCCAGGTGTCAAAATCTTCGCTGGCTGTCGCGGTGAGTTCTACCTATTATTCACGGGTTTGTCGTTAAGGACGACATGGTATTCGAGCACCACCTCCCCGGTACTCCTGCTTTCAGCTACACATGTTGCGCCTTTGCAGGCGGGCCTGTTGGCAAAGCTAGGAAAGTCGTTCGTGTGTTGCCGCTTAGACTCACTGAGCTTGAACCGGTGCTCTTGTGCTGGCCTACGGCTAGATGGCCCTCGGAGTATGCGAGAACAACGGCAAACTGACTACGGAAGGCAGTGTCAGCGTCGGAAGTGGTTTCGGGGCGAGTGCCGTTAGGACGCGAGCTTCCACAGCAGTCGCCCGTTTTGTGCCCCCAAAAGCCTCTCGTAAATGGATGTTGTCTAAACCCGATGTCACGGGTTGCAGCGCTACATATGGTGTTTTTTTTGTGCGGATAACAACCTAAAACAGGAAGATGAGGCCAACACCCAGGGGGACGGGAAACAGTATTTAGTGCGATGTTAAACCGAGGGACTACTTTTGAGAAAGCCCCGAGACACACGCCCTCTAGTTCTTGAGAGCGCCTCGAGTTTTCGGCCATGCTTGGTGTGTTTGAGAGCACATGTGTGATCTTAAAAGCCTTGCCCTGGTGCCTACGAACTTCATTCAGCTGATCCGTTGAATAGAGGGACGCGTGCCCTGCCTTGTTGTCGTGTGTGCTGTTGGGCGAGGGAACGAGGTCAGCGTTTCTCTCAGAGCAAACACCGGGGGGGGATGTTGAGGGGCGTACTTGAGATTTGACTACTTGAGATTTGCCCGTGTTGAGTTGCTCATGGTGATGAGCGTTGAGGAAAGCAGATGTATCAGCAGATGGATGTCGATGTATTGACCTCCTTCTCAGCAGGTCTTGGACATCTCTAAACGGAAATGTTGGAGAGGTATTTCGTCTGAGTTCGTAGTTTCCGTGATCCAAAGCTTTCCGTTCCTCGTGACTGCGCAGTAGAGAGTTCTTTCGCCTGGTCTCAACGAGAATTCACCCCCTCCTCCCACGACCGATGCCCTCTCGTCCACCTGCCCTATCCCCCCTCGTCCACCAGAGGCACTCCAAGAAGCAACGCAAGAAAATTCTTGCGCTGCAGCTGACCAACAACAAGGTCCTGTCGACGGCCGCTTCTGACAAGGAGAGGTCGGCCCGGACGGAGGGCGACCTCCTTGCGAAGCTGGACACCGCCGAGGACACCATCGCCTTCCTGACCGACACGGTGGCCGAGCAGCAGCTGGCCGCCGCGATGGAATCCGAGCGGTTTGACCAGGCCCTGCGCCAGCTCGACAACGAGCTCAAGACTTCGAGGCGAGCCGCTCGAGCGGAGCTCGAGTTTTGTGAGCGGGATCTCGCAGAGGTGGACAGCGCGTCTGTGTCTCTCTCGCGCTTCACCGTGGAGAAGACCCACCACGAAGATCCTCTCGCACCCATGACCTGCCCCGTCACAGAGGTGGCGGCGCTTGGCATGCACGACCGGTCTGCGGCGCACGAGGCGGCGCAATGGACATGGTAAGCTACTGTACCTCTCCAGCGTGCTAGTGCTTCGACGAGTTGCTGCTGCATGGGTGGTTCCGGTGTACTTTTGTGTAGCGGCGGCTGGTTGTGCTGTTGTCTTTGTCGTTCGTTTGGTTGATATTTATGGTGGTGGTGGTGGTGGTGGTGATTTGTCGACCCCGTTGTTGCACCATTGATGTTGTTCTTGTTGTTGAGGACACAGTTATCTTGATAGCGTCGTAGTCTATGAGTTTGGCTTTCAGGTTCCAGCAGAGCTCTCACTGAATCGTCTGCGAATTTTCCGCCCCCGACCCCTGTGATTCATACCCATCAGATAGCCACGGTAGGATCACAGCCAAAAGGTTAATGCCCAAGCCCGGAGGACATTCGCATTGATACGCCCGTTTTGTCCCAGACTGATGTCTAGATCGAAAATCTAGTAGGTAACAGCAGCGTATGCCCCCTCCCCTCCCGCTTTCCCTACATGCTTCGGATCTGATGCAGCGCCCGCCTGCACGCGGTGCAGCGCATGGTGGATGCGTCGACATCCAGGTGGGAAGACGACAAGGCGACGTACCAGCTTCAAGAGGCCGAAGGTAGGGACCGAGAAGTCGAGCTGAACCGCCTCCTGGACGCGGGTGAGAAGATGCGGAAGGACCTCGAGGATGACCTTGCCTTGTCTGAGGAGGAGGTGAGCACTCAACAGATTACTTGGGGGTGATAGCCATACATTCTCGGGCGGCACTGCTACTGTCTATATCGCATAGCTCATGAAGAACCATCTACACGGCAACTATTTCAAAGCCCATCCTCCTTCCGCTGCAATGTCTGCGCTGCCGTTGTGGCACTCGATACACTTTCTTAGTTGGACGAGACTCAGACGGAGCTGGATGCGTGTGCCGCGGACATCGAGGACATCTCCTCCCGTTCGGTGGACCTTGTTCGCACCCTCCAGGAGGATGTGGCAAAGACGGCGGTGCGCGTGGGAGGTCTCGCCTCTGCCGCCCCGGAAGCGGAAGACCTTGACGGATCAGACTACGACATGATCCGGTACGTTCGTGCGCGATCAATTTGCAATAGGGAGGCACCTCAGTAGCTGTTCGGGTGGGCTTCGTATTGATTTGTCTTGGGTTGTGTTGTGCGTGCTGGTAGTTGCAGGTGACATTGTTGCCGTAGATGATTGTTGCGGTATGTATCCGTTGTATTGCGATTGACACGGTTGCGCGACGAAGATGTCCCCCTTGGGCCTCAGTGCCGGCAAGACAAATCGAGTCCTTCAATCCTCTCGCCGCTCTCTGTCTCGAGCAAGGTGGGCAGGTGGAGGAGATGCCACTTGAGAGGGAAATTTAGTCATGACACCGCCCGCATTCCTCCCTCCGCACCGCCTCGGCTGCTTCGATGCCGTACCCACCTTTTAGCACCCGCTTGGAGGCCGTGCAGCGGCTGGTATTGACGGCCACGTCGACGCTGGAGGCGGAAATCTTCACGTGCCAAGGCGAGAAGGCAGACGCGGGGGACCGCGAAGCCGAGATCGAGGAGCAGCGGCAGGAGCTCGAGGACGAGCTCGCCGTGTGTGAGGAGGAGGTGAGCACTCAACAAAGGACTTGGCCATGGCAGCGATGAATACTTTGAGGGCACTGCTGCTGTCGATATCGCATCCTGGCTCATGGAGAACCATCGACACGGCAGCTCTTTTAACACCCACCCTTCCGTCGCCGAAATGCCTCCGCTGCCGTTGTGAAACTCGATACACCTTCTTAGTTGGACGAGACTCAGACGGCCGCTGACTCGTGCGCCGCGGACTTCGAGGACATCTCTTCCCGTTCGGTGGACCTGGTTCGTACCCTCCAGGAGGATGCGGCAAAGATGGCGGTGCGCGTGGGAGGTCTCGCCCCGGAAGCGGAAGACCGTATAGGGTCGGACTACGACATGATCCGGTACGTTTTGTGTGGGCGTCGCACTGGTTGTCTTGGCTTCGTTGTGCCTGATGATGGGTGCGGGTGACGTTGTTGCCTTAGATGATTGTTGCGGTACCCGTCGTTGCGATGGACACGGTTGCGCGACGAAACTGTCCCCCTTGGGCCTCAGTGCCGGCAAGACAAATCGAGTCCTTCAACCGTCCCGCCACTGTGTCTCGAGGAAGATTGGCAGGTCGAGGAGATGCCGCTTGAGAGGGGAAGTGTAGGTTTGACACCGCCCCCATTCCCCCCGCCGCACACGCCTCCACTGCTTCGACGCCGCACCTTTTAGCGCCCGGTTGGAGTCCGCGCAGCAGCTGGCATTGACGGTCACGTCGACGCTGGAGGAGGATATCTTCACGTGCCAGGGCGAGAAGGCGGACGCCGTCGACCGAGAGGTCAAGACAGGCGAGAACATGCGGAAGCTCAACGAGGACCTCTCCGACTGCGCCAACTACGTGAGCATCCGATAAGCGTGACCCAGCGTGAGATCAAGCACCGTTTGTCGCTCTGTTGGTGGTATCGATTTTCTCGATTCTGCACAAGTATAACACCACTAGTTGCGTGCCCAGGACGAGGGGAGCTGGTCAAATCCCATGCCCCGAACATTCGATCTTTTAGCACCGTTCATTGTCAAAACATTAACATTTTGAAACGTTCGCGAAATCGTCGCCAGGAGAGGCCCAATGGTTGGAATTCATAATGGGGGGCAGGGGAAAGTGATGCTCGACGTCACCGGCGGCATCGAGGGGCTAAGGGCGGTGGATGATGCATTGGGAAGGGCGACTACGCGGTCGTCGAATTGTTTGTAGTGGGGGCCAGACAGCACAAGGTAGATAGCCGATCCCCCGACAGCCATCGACAGAGCTACTCTGAAATCTCAGCCCCCCACCTGTGCCACTCGATTGTTTCGTTGATGTGGCTCTCATAAATAAATCGCAGGCGGATGGTTCCCACAAGGCTTGGGTGTCGTGCACCGAGGGCCTCACCAGCGTCGACAGGGTTTCGCTGGACACCTATTTTTCCGTTGAGGAAATCACCTTCCAAGTGGGGGTGTTTGTCCCGCGCCGAGCGGCTTCCGACCTGGAGGCGTCAAACGTCTTTAGCCTTGCGAACCGCGCCGACCGGGTGGAGGAGACGCAGCAAGAGGTCCTCGATAGACTGCGGTAAGCGTTTGTGCTTGGTCGATTGCAAGGGGAGAGTGCATGACAGATTGTGTCATGGGTCCTTGTGTTGGGTAGAGGTTGCTGTTGTCGTGGTTGTCGTCGCTATTGTTTCTGTCTGTCTGTCGGTTGTTGATAGCTAGTATGGCCATCCTTGTGTACGGTGAATGTTGATGTGGTCGCTGTCATCGTTATTGCTTGTCGTTGTCGCTCTTGGTCGGCCGCTACCGATGATACCCAGCGACTGCTTTGGCTTTTGCTTTGGCTTTAGCACCTAATCCGCTTCCCTTCCCTGCATCCCCTCCCAACGCCCCCCGGTGCACCCATGCGCATGTTCCAGCTCACGGTTCGAGGACATGCAGGAAATGGCCGCTGCCGTGGTGTCCAACCTGTGCAGCTGCACGGGCGCGGTGAGCTATTGTAGTTGATTCAGCGTTATTTTTCATGCCTTACAGCGAAACTGGTTGTGATTCACCAATTGGTCGACTGTGGGACCGAGGGTGCTACTTCGTCGTTGGTCGTTGGGATTCTAGATTACACACCTCGGGGCTTGATTGTCCCTACAGCAATTCGCTACTTTCGCCGTGTGAGGAGTAGGGGCGGGGCCGCGGGGGGGGTGTACTTGGGGGAAGTCGTGATGGGCTTGACATTGAGACTTGAACAATGATCACGACAACAAAAGGGAAACACCAACGTCGTGGTAGGGATCTTGAACAGCTGTTGTATCGTCGATATTTGTTGATGCCATGGTGGGTGTTGGCGTCACTCTTGTCTCAAAGATCTCCTCCGTTCGTGTGTACGATGATGGTTTGTTGTTGTCGTTGTGGTTCGCACATACACCGGCAACGAAAACGGAACACGGCAAGAGTTTTTCGAACCGTCAGTTCCCCAGTAGTGCCGCCCCATGGCAAATGCTTAAGGCGAGCCAAAACCGAGCAACCGCATCTGTTGACATCGGGTAGTTTGATCGCGTACCTTGTATTTTTTCGCTGGACAGACCCCGGACGATTCAGGGGGGGCATCTGTGGGCAACGGCAGAATCAGTGTCAGTGACAGCAGCGGTGACGTCAATGATACGGGCGTGGACGTGGGCGAGGACAGCACGGCCTCAGCCGGAGATGGCACGGCGGTGCACCGAACGGAGGCTGACGATGCCGGCAACGAGGAAGACGTGGAAGGGGAAGAGCCTGACGCCCACGTCATTGACGCCAACCCACTTACGCTAGACGGGGTTTGACCTGTCTTCCCTTTCAGTGATTGTTGATTGATGCGGGGCAGTAATGCCTGTTTTCAAGCGTGGGTTCAGCGTTGTGTCCTCCGTGGTGAATAAAGTTCGGACCCTTTCAGTCCTGTGAGATTAGGGGCGTCGTTTTCGTGTCGCGTCTTGTTCTTTCTGTTTGGTCTAACGTTTGGTTATGTACTTTGTCTAACCTGCATGTTTGGGGTCGGGATCTTGTGTGTCCGTTTTGGAGATGCGGTCTTCGACGTGTGCCTGCTCTTGGTGGTTCACCAGTGCCCTCCCGATGCCGGTGTTTGCCTTACTTATTGTTTGTCGCGAAAAGAGTTGCACCCTCTCTTTCGCTCGTCCACCGTATGTACAGAAGTAGACATAATGGATAATTTTTGTCGTGTACCATCAAAGTGCAGATTGGTGTTTGCATTTGCTTGGTCGAGCATGGTGCGAGAAAAAGTTCCACTCCCAAGTCGTGTGGCTGCGCCTAGACTCGAACCCAACTCCAGAAATCATGGAGATGCTACTTACGTACATAGGTTGTTGTGAAATGAACCACCCGGGCAAACGGCCGCTACTCGTAGCCGTCATATTTCCCGTCTACACACTAGAAGCCGCACTGAGGTTTTAGCTGGACTCTGCTGCCCAATGTGCACTCCTCCAGGGAAAATTGCGGAATATCTACACCTCTGGCACCGTGGCAACCGACGCACTCTCACCCAAGTCATATAAGGGACAAACACACGAACATTCCAACGTCAACAGGGTACCTCCAACAGTGTACTGTGAAGAAGAAATCCCATCTATGTCTGCATACACTAGGTAGAAAAGTACAAAGAGGGCAGGAGCAAGGGGAAGGACCAAAATGAAGCAAAGCGAACGAGTGAGGCCCCACGGCTTGAATAGCTCGGATCTGGCATGTATGCGAATGAATCGATTGATCGATTTCATTCGAGAATGTGTAGCATCGTAGGCAAAATGCCCGTGCTACTACGTAGTATCGATCCCCGCCTCTCTTATCAAACTGGTTCCGAGTTCAACCCATGCCTCACACTGTGGTGATGTTTCGACTCAACCTCGGGCAGGGGGGCACAAACTACTTGGTTGGGAGGGGGGCCCGTGGCCCGTGGGGGGTCCCAACATCTCGTCGAGAGAAACGTATCCGGTGCGCGAACCCCTCGCTATTCAGGTAAGTGCGGGCCGCGCATGCGCGTACATCTGCTGTGCCCAACGATTGGTGGGGGAGATTCTTCACCGGTACCCACATGATTTGCTGCTGCTACCCAGCTATCGTGGTCGGGTGGAGGATGCCAAAGAAGGCGAGAAGTGTCTATTGTCCCGAGGTCTATGTACTTTCAAAATTTCACAATTTCGGGCGACGCACCAGCAGCAGAAATGATGAATCGAATCCATCCATCGAACCCAACCTTAATGCAATACTCCTGAAGATCTAAGGCAGGCCATCATGGGATCATTAACCACCGCATGCCTACGTTGTCGGCCATGCACTTGCTTGCTAAAGGCGATAAACCAGAGGGAGGATGGCAATCGACGTGTGTGTGTCGGGCCACAAGCAGCAACCTTGTGCACTTTTGTGAGAGGGGCTGGACCTAGTGGTGCAGTCGAACGCGGAAGGAAAGTATTCCCGGACTACCTCTGTATGCATACGTGGATGACCATGTAGCTGTATGGTGCAGCCCGAGTCGGAAAATGGTCGTTCGCTTGACGTCCGTCCCGGACCTCATTGCCTATTTTTTTTCAATTTTTCCCCTGGAAGCTGGCATGCAAAATGTGAAGTTGTTCCGCATCGACATGGAAGAATATATTCGTGTATATATGCATGCATATTAGTGAAGTTGTGCACATCATCGGAATTTTTTTTTCCGTGAATGATCCCACACTCCCGCACATGCCCACGCCCGACCCGCCATCCATCCGCCTTCCCCACACCAGCGTCAGCAGGCAACAGGGGCGAAAATGACGAGGACGAAGCCATCCTCTGGGAGGTTACGACGCGGGAAGCGCCTTCCCTGTGGCCATCTATTGCTGCAGCATGGCTTGGCTCTTCGGAGTAAAAGACCGTCCGTCATTGCCAACGGGTGAGCTACAGCAGTAGTCTCTAACGTGGAAGGTTGTGTTGTACAACCTGGTGTTTTTGGCAGAACGGTTAGAAAGATCAAAGGGGGCACCGTAGGTAAGAGCTAATTGATAGATAGGCAGGCATGTGTACCGGAAAGAAAAGAAAAGAAAGAGATGCACCTTGCCCACAACAGAAGAAACATCTGAACGAAAGAGCAAGACAACAGACAAACAAGAGGAGGAGGAGTAGAAGAGAGACAGAGGAGGAAGAAGAAGGAAGCGAGCGTACGGAAGGGAGGAGACAGACAGAGAAAGAGAGCAAGAGCATCGTCGGTTCATTTGTCGGCCGACCAGGCGCTTGAGCGCGGGGGCCGGGATCCTGCTGCCGAGCGCGGGGTCCCATGCCGAATACGGTAAGGCTTGGGACGTTGACACCGATGCGGCGCCGCGACGAGGAGGAGGAAGAGCAAGGCGGATGGCGGGGCCAAGGAAGGGGAGAGGACGGGGGCTCGCCGCAGAGGGGCGGAGGTGAGAGGAGGAGGTCGTTGAGCCAGGGTGAGCGACGGGTGACCAGCGTAGAAGGCAGGGGGACTTTGAGGATTGAGTCACGCCTATCGCCGTCCGTGCATACAGGGGGGAGAGCGCGCCACGCAAGACCTAGGCAGACGCGCTCCAATTCACCAATGGTAGTTAGGCGCGACCAGTCGGCTTACGTCAGTCGCCGGGGTTCGTCACGTACGCAGCATGTCCCGTCCCCACAAGGCCACCG